CCACTACTGCTCCATTTTTACTTAAGTTTAATCTGTCTCCACACCCCCGCCCCCCCACCCTGGACTAAAGTTCAAGTAAGAACAGGAAGGAGGAGCACCTGGGATGGCCCGGTCAGATAAGCATCCAACTTCAACTCAGATTTCACAGTTCATGGGTTTGAACCCCATTTCGGGCACTGTGCTGACACAGCTCAGAGCCTGGAGCCTGCTTCAGATTCTGTGTCTCCCGCACTCTCTGCCCCTCCCCCGCTCATGGTCTGCTCAAAAATAAACATTAAAAAATTTTTTCTAATACAATGGAGGAAAAGTTATCCTCTTGTATTAAAAACTTATATGCAATCTGGAATCTTGTCAAAACTAAAAAATCTTTGTTCTGCAAAACACCTGTGTTAATAAGAAAATGAAAAGACAAGCTACCAACTAGGGAAAAAATATTTACAAACCACAATACTAACAAAGGACCTGCATCTAGAATATTATTAAGAACTCTGAAAATCCAACAGTAAAAAAGCATCCAATTAGAAAATGGGCAAAAGACACGAAAAGATATTTCACTGAAAATGCCAAGTACTAAGCATGTAAAAATATGTTCAACGTCATTAGCCATTACCTAAATGCAAATTAAACCACAATGAGAACATGGATAGACCTTCAGGGTGTTATGCTTAGCGAAATTAGTCAGGCAGAGAAAGACAAATATCATATGTTTGCACGTATTATGAGGATTAGGAGGAACTTAACTGAGGACCATGGGGGAGAAGAATGGGGGAAATGTTGGGGGAAAGGGAGAGAGGCAAACCATGAGAGACTCTTGAATGCTGAGAAACAAACTGAAGACTGACGGATGTGGGAGGGTGGGGGGAAATGGGCATGGAGGAGGGCACTTGTGGGGATGAGCACTGGGTGTTATATGGAAACCAATCTGACAATAAACTATTTGTAAAAAAAAAAAAAAAAAAAAAAAAAAAACCACAATGAGACACTACTATATATTTATCAGAATAGCTAAAATAAAAAAATCATGGTAACACCAAATGACAGCAAAAATGTGGAAACTGGACCAATCACACATTACTGGTAGGAATGTAAAATGGTACAGCCATTCTAGAAAATAGAGGCAATTTCTTATAAAATTAAACATGCACTTACTTTCCCAGAGAAATGAAAACTTACATTCACCCAAAAATCCATAGACAAATGTTCCTAGCAGCTTTATTAATAATAGCCACTCCAAATGGAAACAACTCAGATGATGGGGTAGACACGCATACCATGGAATGTTACTCAAAATGAAAAGAAGGAAAAAACATGAGAAAGAAGTAACCATTAGACATGAGCTCAATTTGGATGGATCTTAATAAAATTATAATGAGCAAAACAAGGCAATTTCAAAGGGTGCATTTATATAACTTTCCTGAAATGACAAAATTAGAGACAGAGAACAGATTAATGACCCCCTGGAGTTAGGGGTGGGGGGAGGAGGAGAGTAGAGTGTGGCTCTATAAAAAGGGGAAGGAACATGATGGATCCTTGGGGTGACTGGAATTATTCTGTATCTTGAATACAGTGGTGGATTTATGAATCAATATGTGATTAAAGTGCACAGAACTAAATGTACATATACACAAATGAGTGCATCTAAAACTGGTAAAATCTGAATAAGTTTGATAGACTATATGAATGTCTTGACTGTAATACTTACATTATCATGATATTACCAATGGGGGAAACTGGGTGAAGACTATATGGGATCTCTTTTTACTATAATCTACTGAGAGTATCATTATAATCTAGTATCAATTAAATGACACATGAATCTACAATTATTACAAAATAGAGAGTTTAAAAATATACACACATAATTCAATTTACCATTACACTAACCCATTGCCAAATTTCTGATTTAAATAGGGGTGGGAGTAAAGCATTTTAATTTCTGCCTAGACAATGACTGGCAATGTCATTCCTCTTTTGATGTTCTAAAGCAGACTTTAAGATCAAAAGTTCCATGTTCTACCAACTGAGCCAGCCACATGTCCCTCTATGGCAGGCTTTAAGATACAAAAAGAAGCTATATGGACTGTGACCAACTAACTATACAAGTGACAGAACAGTGGAACAGATCATATACTTCATTCACTATGACATAATAGAATTGCTGATGAACCTCATTACTATTAAAGATACCAAAATTATTCTGGTTATTCTGGATGCCATTTCAAATATCTTTCAGGCTGCTGAAAGTTTAAGTAAAACTAAGAAATTCAATATAATGACTGAAAAATGTGGAGGGCTGGACAAAACCGAAGCTAAAATAAAACCATGATAATGAGTCTGGGTACAAAGCTTCATTAAACTTGATTGTGCAATATTTCTCTTAAGGGCAAGATCTAAGTATTGTGCCAGAAACTGGCTCTGAAGGCCATCCATTCCAAATGGAGATGGCACTCCTGAGACTTTCAACTTTTAGAACATATGGCAGAGTCATAAAAGTTGTTTGTTTGTACTCTGACTCTACAATTGTCTCACAATGGAGATAATGTTGCTCACCTAAGGTCTTCCTAAGATTCTGAAAGGTCTTATTAAAAGTACCCCAGTCCCAAATCAAATCAGTCAAAAAAACATTTACCCATAAATTCATGTTTATCCTTTAAACTCTTAACTACTTAAATTGTGGTTTCTGAACCAATACCAAAAGTATCATCTAGAAACAGGTAGAAATGCAGGCTCTCAGCCCCATGCCATACTTAGTGAATCAGAATCTGAATTTTAACAAGATCCCTAGGTGGAACTAGCTTACACTGCTAGTAGGAATGCAAAATGGTGCAGCCACTCTGGGAAACAGTAGAAAGGTTCCTCAAAAAAACTAAAAATAGAACTACCCTACAACCCAGTTATTACTAGGTATTTACCCAAAGGATAAAAAAATACTGATCTGAAGCGGTATGTGCACCCTGATATTTATAGCAGTATTATCAACAATAGCCAAATTATGGAAAGAGCCCAAATGCCCATCAACTGATGAATGGATAAAGAAATGTGGTGTACGTACGTACGTACACACACACACACACACACACACAGAGAGAGAGAGAGAGAGAGGGAGAGAGAGAGAGAGGAATATTACTCAACCATTAAAAAGAATGAGATCTTGCCATTTGCAACAATGTGTATGGAGCTAGAGTATATTATGCTAAGTCCAATACCATTACGATTTCACTCATATGTGGAATTTAAACAAAAGAGATGAATATATAGGGGGTAGAAAATAGAGGGAAGCATATCATAAGAGACTCTTAACAACAGAGAACAAACTGAGCGCTGCTAGAAGGAAGGTAGGCTGGGGAACGCTAAATGGGTGATGGGTATTAAGGAGGGCACTTGTGATGAGCACCAGGTATTATATGTGATAAATCACTAAATTCTAGTATTACACACTCTATGTTAACTAACAAGAATTTAAATAAAAGTTAAAAAGAAATCCCTAGGTAAATCCTATGCACAAAAAAGTTTAAGGTGCACTGCTTTAGACATATGAAATGTCTTTTTAAGTTCACTTATTTATTTTCAGTAATCTTAATACCCAATGTGGGGCTTGAATTCATAACCCCGAGATCAAACGTTGCCTGCTCTTCTTCCAACTGAGCCTACCAGGTGCCCCAACATTTGAAAATGTTTTTAAAAACTCTTAAAAGCTTTAGAAAAATGGTATTTTCCAAATCACTATTTTTACTGTATAATGTGATTTACCTAAAACACACAGGACACTATTTTATTTTACCTTGTGTCTTAGCCTCAACTCACTAGTTCTTCATTTCAAAATATGTTTTACTAATACTCTAAGTACTGAGAAACTAAGATGTTAGAAAAAAGGGAATCACATAAAGGTTAACTGATTTACTCAAGGTTACCTATCTAGTTTAGTGACACAGTCACCTCACTTTGATTCACATACCCTTCTCCTAGTCAACTATTTTTAAGAAAAATTGCTACTTTGCTGAATCCTTAATGCCATATACCACTGACTCTGAAATTTGCTGTGGTTACATCTAGGCACATGGACATGGGCAGAGTACAAAGCCTAAATTCAATTACATAAAGTGCAAATATAGTATCATTTCAAAAGTTTTAAGCCCTATGTACTTCTGCCAAAAACTATGTCATGAATAAGGCACTGATCACCAAGAAGGCAAAAACTGGAATCTAGTCACCTTGGACTCTGCTTATAAAAAGCACTACTACTTATGTGTAAGACATCTGTTTTCAACTTCATCTCCCTCTGCTTACCCTGGAAAATGGAACTTTAGGTCTACATAATTTTTTTTATATTTTATTTATTTCTGAGAAAGAGAGAGAGACAGCATGAACAGGGGAGGGTCAGCGAGAGAGGGAGATACAGAATCTGGAGGAGGCTCCAGGCTCTGAGCTACCTGTCAGCACAGAGCCCGACACGGGGCTTGAACCCATGAACCATGAGATCATGACCTTAGCCGAAGTCAGACGTTTAACTGACTGAGCGACCCAGGTGCCCCCAAGGTCTACACAGTAAGATGTTGAGATGTATAATGTCCTAATGGATGAGACAAAACGCAGAAGAGAAGTAGTCAGTAGGCAATGTCTTCTCCACACCTTATCTAAAAGTCTTGCTCTCTAGGCATTCTGCTTGAAACGACCAGCAAAAATTCCTTTAAAAGTTATAAAAAGCAACAAGTTCATAATTCTATTTAAAATCAATCATATGGGCACCATTTTTTTCAAGGGACAGATACTCACTATGGCACTGCAAATTAACAATAACATCTACCTGAATAAAAGCTATTGTTTTTAGATTTATACAAAAAGCACCACCATTTTATTTATTAATTAGAAAATAAGTGAAATCACTTAACAGTCCATCAAAACAATTTAAACTTGAGTATTTTATTTAAAAGAGTAGAGCACAAGGCATTAATCTAGAATTACAGTACATTTAGTATATATATGGAAAATTATATACTTACTTTCTGAATGAATTTCTCAACACTCTGTACCACATGTTTATAGAACTAAAAGAAAAAACATGAAGTGTGCTTTTAAAATTTGTTCAATTAGATTCAAATCTTCCTGTTAACAAAAGGTTTAACATAGCTTCAGAGGTTTATCTAAACAATAAATTTTAATCATGAATTTTAAGACAAGCATGTCACTCCCATTCATAAGCAAGTAACTATGGTATCTAATTATTAAAGGGGATTCTTGATGTACATACATACATGGACAGTACAACTGACCCTTGAACACAGGTTTGAACTTACACGCTGATTTTTTTCAATAAATAAAGTATAGTACCATGTATTTTCTCTTATGATTTTCTTAATAACATCTTATTTCCCCAGCTAACTCAATTGTAAGAATATAGTATATAATACATATACTATACTAGAAAAATCAAATAACTCAACCAATAGTATTAATAAATGAATGCAAAGGAGTTGTTTTCAACTTCATTATCTCCTTCTGCTTCTCCTGGAAATGGAACAAGTATATGTAATAAGGTATAGAGAGGTATTAAGTTCTCACGGATCAGCCAAAACAAATCAAAGTAAAGGCAACACACAGATTAAAAATGAGTAATGGGCTACTATCAGTTACAAGAAAATAAATGTAAGTTTCAGAAACAACTCTATGAATAAACCTAAAAAGGAATAAAATAAAAGTTACAGATTTCACAAAAGGTATCTAGAATTTGTGCACAGTAAGTTTTGGTACATGGCAATTGCATACTAGCATATTTGTTTAAAGAGCTTCAATTGGGCTTCTATTTATACTTTTCACCTCAGGCATTTTATTTTTGAGGAACATCCTCCTAGACCAAAGAGACATAAGAACATTCCTCTGAACTGCATCATGAAATCCAATATTTATAAAATGAAAAAGAAAGGAAAAACCTTATCACTCATAGTCATCAAATCAAAGTGTCCAAGTTTAAGCTTGGCTAAAATTTTCATTGTATAAAAGAATAGTTAATTCAAAAGTTTAAGTTGCTTAAGTAAAAAAGCCAAGCCAACTACTTAAAAGTTAGTAAGAACTACTTAAGCATTTAAAATCAACACACAAAATATTAATTACACACCGAACGATTTTTACTAAATAATAATTCTTCTGGAAAACAACTTGACAGTGCTTCCTGCGTCTAGCCATTTTACTACATGTAATTCTGAGTAAAACTGCTTACTAAACTTTAATTCAAAGTTTATCAATTCACATAGGCCTTCTTCCCTGATAGGTTCATCTGTGAGATTTCTCTGACAGTGTGCAATGTTAACAACTGTCCATCAAAATAATCATGCCTCTAAACGCTGATTAAAGAAACGAATGACTTACCTCAATTTGAACCACAGTATCTTTTAAATCTGACTTAAAAGGCAGTTCAAATCTCAATTTACGTATGTACTAAATGCAGTTTAAAATAATATAGTACTGGGGTGCCTGGGTGGCTCAGTCAACTAAGCATCCGACTTCAGCTCAGGTCATGATCTCATAGTCTGTGGGTTCGATCCCTGCTTCAGGCTCTGTGCTGACAGCTCAGAGCCTGGAGCCTGCTTTGGATTCTCTCTCTCTCTCTGCCCCTTCTCTGCTCATGGTCTGTCTCTCAAAAATAAATAAATGTTAAAAATCTTTAAAAATTAATACAGTACTGCAGAACAACAGGTCTGAACTCTTAGAAATGTTAATGACATAAAAAACAAAAGAAAAAAGCTGGGTAAGGCTAAGTGACAGGACAAATAAATGTAATAATGTACGATCTTACTGGATCCTGAAATTTCTTTCATGTGGTCAGTGTGCTATATAATTACTTAGGAAATGTCTTTAGGGAGATTCAAAATCGAATATTTAGGGATTTAAGTGTTATTATGAATGAAATCTGAAACTCAAACAATTCAGCCAAAAAATGTGTTTGTGTGTACAGAAAGAAACCAAACGTAGCAAAATTTTAACAACTGGCAAATCTAAGGGAAGACGATGTGTTGCTCACTGTATTTTGCAACATCGATGTAGAATTTTGAAAATTAAAATACTAAAAGTGGTAACAATAAATCAAAATAGTATAGTATATCAATGTTTAGGTTCTTGATTAAGAAAATCCTGAATTCAAATCTAGCTGTATTTATTCTGACTTTGCAAATTAATTTCTCTTAGACCCTTCCTACACCTGAAAAGTAGAAATAATGTTGACACCAATACTTCCAGACTATTTTAATTAAAAAGTATTCTCAGAAGGAAGAGGTTGGAGGGATGCGCAAATAGGTGAAGAGGCTTTCTGCTGTGGCATTATCAGGTTATCAAAAGGCACAGCACTGGTAATACAATCAATGGCTCTGTAATGTATCGTGACAGATGACAGCTACACTTGTGTTGAGGACAGCATAAGGAACAGACACACTGTATCACTAAGCTGTACACCTGGGACTAGTACATTATGTGTCAACTATACTTGACTGAAAAATTTTTTTAAAAAGTATTATTGCTCAAGTGGTATAAAATACATCAATTATTTTCAGACTAAAAATGGTAATAATATACATGTTCGTACACTCTCCAGATCCTGACCATAAAAGTCAGATCACAATGTAAAATAGGATAAAGAAAGTCCAGGAGACTAAATATTCTATACTAAGCCTATCAGATACCCTGAAAAATCACTTTTTTTGAAGAATTCTCTTGCTTAAATGCTTACTGGTTACTGTCCTTATTACTTATTACCTCTTTGATTTTCCACATATAAGTACAGGCATTTTAACTATAATGATGTAAGAAATTAACGGCACATCTGAAAACTAAGCTTTGGCCACCAGAACACTGAAAAATCAACTATCTGCATTTTCCCCTAGTGACTATTCTCTCTGTAAATAGGAATTTGTTACACCTAATAGATAATGCTGTTATCCAAAGACAACTTGTTCAAATAATTGGTGCTTCTGGTTATGGCTGATGTTTTTATTTAGAATAGGAAAACATATCACCAAATACCCACTGGTTGAAACATAATTAAAAAGAAACATTCATTCTCAACTTTAACAGTCCACTAAAGCAGGGAGTCTTAACTTTGGGGACAAGAACCTCTTAGAAAGAGGTGTCTGGTTGAACTTTAAAAGGTCCATAAAGCCAAGAAATGTTATGCAAAATTCTGTGCATCTGTGTATTTTTCTACAGAAAGTCCAACCTTTCTCTGAGATTTTCAGAATATCCATGAGTCAACACAGATTGGCTCAAAATCACTCTATCAGAGCAATGGCTAAATGCCTGGGGCATCTTCCCACAGTTCCAAGTGTCCTATAAACAGTAAGGTTCAATTACTTTTCATAATGTCTAATTTTCAAATCTATAGTAGAATAGAAAAAAACATTAATTTCTATTTAGAAAACTTTTACCAAGATTCTGTAAAGTCAGTGTGACATACAACAGCATAAAGATATTCTCCACAATGTGGCTCTATCTAAAATCTTGCTTACGAAAAGTAAAGAAAAATGATAGCTTCAAAGTTCATGGAAGAACATTTATCAAAATGTTAAATGTTTATCTCTAGGTAGGAGAGTTTGCAGGTGATAACAGATGTTTGCTTTTGTGTTTTTCCCCCAAGAACATATATTAACTCTATAAAGAGAAAGAAAATATACATTGATCCTGAAACAACATGAGTGGAGCAACCAACAGCCTGCACGGTCGAAGATCTGCCTCCCCCCAAAATTAAGTACTACTGACCAGAAGCCTTACCAATAACGAAATGTTGATAAACACATACTTTCTATATGTTTCATATACCATATTCTTACAATAAAGTAAGCTGGAGAAAAGCATATGTTATTAGGAAACTTGTAAGAAAGAGAAAACATATCCATAGTAACTGCACTGTATCTATAAACAAATTCATGTGTAAACAGACCATGCAATTCAAATCTATGATGCTCAATGGTTAACTGTATAATCTTTAAAAATTATGCCTCCTGTAAAATATTACCATAGTATTTTCTTCTGAAAACTCAAGTGTAAAGTTTATTACTCACCTTAATAGCTTTGATGGCTGCCTTAGTAATTTGGGTCATTTTCGCTTTAGAAATGGGTGGTTTGTAGTCATTCAGGGAATACAACTGATAAAAAAAAAAAAAATTTAAATACAGCAAAACTAATGGTCTCTAAGCAATTACATGAAATTAGCAAACATCTCCATTTTTATATTCTCAATAAAATCAAAGTGCTTGTTTCTTTTAAAAATCAAGTTCAACATCATTAGCCATCAGAGATATGCAAATCAAAACCACAATGAGAGGGCACCTGGGTGGCTCAGTCGGTTAACCATCTGACTTTGGAGTTCAGCTCAGGTCATCATCTCAAGGTTTGCGGAATCAAGCCCCATGTGGGGCTCTGTACAGGCAGCAGCACAGAGCCTGCTTAGGATTGTCTCTCCCTCTCTCTCTGCCTCCTCCTGCTTTCTCTCTCTCTCAAAATAAAAAAAAAAAAATTAAAAAAAAAAACCCACAATGAGTTGCCACTTCACATTTACTTGTTTATAATAAAAAAGACAGTTAATAAAAAGAGCGAGAAAGGATGTGGAGAACCTGGAATGCTTATACATTGCTAGTGGGAATGTAAAATGGTACAGCAGCTTTGGAAAATGGCTTGGCAGTTCCTTTAAAAGTAAACACAGTAATATATAATATGACAAAGCAATACCACTCCCAGGTATATACCCAAAAGAGTTGAAAATAAAGGTCACATAAAAACTGTATACAAATGGTCATTGCAACATTACTCATAAGAAAGTCATTTAAAAAGTGGAAACCACCCAAATGTCCATCAAACAAGAACAGTGTTATAACCATTCAAAACAGCCATAAAAAAGGAATGATACATGCTACAAAACAGATGAACCCTGAAAACATTATGCTCAGTTAAAAAAGCCATATTAAAAAGACCAGATATTACAAGATTCCATTTATATGATATGTCCAGAAAACACAAATCTATTGGTGACTGCCTACAATTAAGGGAATTTGGGATAAATGATGCATTACTACTAATGAGTACAACATTTCTTTTGGGTAGTGATAAAAATATTCTAAAACTGATTGTGGTAATAATGTACAATTGTACTAAATACCACTGAAGTATACACCCAATTGGTTAACTGTATGGTATATAAATTATAACTCAAAACTTCTTAGAAATCAAGGGATTTAAGGTTTAGCAGTAATCCTCCAAGTCAAAAAAAATAATAATTTTGTTCTGAAACTTCTCATATAAGCAAGGGATAATAAAACTGCTTAGAAAGAAAAACAGTTAAAGGTGGGAAAATAAGGGGGCACCTGGGCAGCACAGTAGGTTAAGCATTCACCTTTGGCTCAGATCATGATCTCATGGTTTGTGAATCTGAGCCCTGCATCAGGCTCTGAACTGATGGTGCAGAGCCTGCCTGGGATTCTCTCTCCCTTCTCCCTCAATTGCTCTCACTCTCTCTCACAAAATAAATAAATAAATAACTTTTTTTAAAAGGTGGGGAATCAGGCAATGAACAAATAACTAAGCTAAGTAAATATTCATTAAAACTTGCATTGCACTCTATGATGCTAAGATTTTAACTATAATGACACAACATTATTAATTTCAAGTCTGGAAACTAAGCTTGGCCATTAGAAGACTGCAGAAACAATCTGAACAGACTTAAACGTAACAAACAGAATGTGTTGGTTAGTCAACCAGCAATGTAGGGAGTCCTCTACAGCTTTTGCTTCACCTATCAATGAATTCTACTAATTTTTACCCAGTTTTCCCCATATTTGTCTCTTCTTTCTACTCCAACCACCATCATAACCACAGCCCAAATCACTTTCATCTCCCACACAGAGAACATCTCTAAAAGGATGTGCATGTCTATCTTTTCAAAAACTAATCTGATCAGGTGATGAATACCCCCTTACGAAGATCAATGACTTCCCGTGCTTTGGATATTTACATGGTTCAATTCCTGTCCACCTGTCCAGTCTCATCTCACCACATGCTCCCGTCCTGAGCCCTCTGCTCTAGGCACAATGGTCTTTTTCCAGTTTCTTGCCACAAAGCCTTTAAAATGGACCCATTCTCTCTATTTGGAATACTCCTCACCATGGTCTCACTGGTTAATGTGTGCTCATCAATCTTAGTTTAAGCAACATCTAATGAAGAAAGCCTTCCGTACCTTCCCAGCCAGATCAATACCTCCCCTTTCATGCTCTTCCTCTGTCACTCACCTCTGAAGCACTCATCATAGTACTCTGACATTTACTTGTTGATCATTTAACTAACACGTGATTTTTAAAAGAACTGTCACAAATGACAGTAACACCAAGGGCAAAGAAGGTAGGTTCCTTTACTACAGTTTAAGTTAATATGACATTAATGATACAAGAGCTGTTCAAGCTGTTCAAGCTGAAATCAACTGTGAGAGGAATATAAATGTCCTTTCCTTAAAGTACCCACAGAGGTGCCCACCTGTACACTGCCACCCATTAGGGTCAAGATCTCATCAGACGATTTAAGAAGGTACCTCTGTCAAATTCACAGGGAATTTTAAAAATATTTATTTGTGTGTGTGTGTGTGTAAGAGAGAGAGAGAGAGAGAGACAACAAGTGAGCAAGCATAGCCAGAGAGAGAGAGAGAGAGAGAGAACAAGTGAGCAAGCATAGCCAGAGAGAGAGACAGAGAGAGAGAGAGAGAACAAGTGAGCAAGCATAGCCAGAGAGAGAGAGAGAGAGAGAGAGAGAGAGAACAAGTGAGCAAGCATAGCCAGGGAGGAGAGGAGAGGAAGATAGAGAATCTGAAGCAGGCTCCAGGCTCCAAGCTGTCAGTGCAGAACGCGACGCAGGGCTGGAATTCATGAACCGTGAGATCATGACCTGAGCCAAAGCCAGATGCTTAACTGGCTGAGCTGCTCGGGTGCCCCTCACAGGGAGTTTTAATATATTTGTGGCTTCAATTCCTACCCATATGCCAGTCTACTTAACAGGTACAAAATAACATCAACACATTCTACAATGCTTACAAAAAGCTGTATGTAAAAAGTAAAGGTCAATTTCCCAGAATTTCTCAGTAGGCTCTGGCTGCTGCCCATCTGAGACCCACTACAGAATAGAAGCTCAAGAAGAGAAACTGCGTCTTTTTTTGTTTAGATTTGTTTCCTCTTCTCCAAACTATCTTCAGTGTCTGGGAGAAAATAAGTATTTGTTAAGAATAAATTAAAATTAACAAATACACATAAAACACAACACTGTACAAGCTTTGCACAGAAAGACCTGGATAGGAATTCCAACTATGTCACCTTATTACAAGTTGCTAAACCTCTGAAAATTAGTTTTCGCATTCAAAAAGTGAAACTCATTTCATAGAAACACCACATATAATAAAGCTTTTAGAACAGAAAAAAATTACTCAATAGAGTTAGCCATTATTAAAATTAAAATCCTTCTCTTTGGGGTGTTCTCCATTTAAATGAGTAATATTAAAGGATCCATCAAACATTTATTCACTCAACTACTTACAAGTCCATTCTAGAATAATTTATATGACTAGGGCAATGAAGATGCATCAGGTTGTTCCCACACTTGACTATATATTTTGTGTAGCAAAGCCCCGAAGTCTCAATAAAGCATTAGTCCATATTATGGCACACGGACATGTAATTTAGACTTATAAAAACATTTTCAAAAGTCATCTTTCCCCAGAGATCTCCTCCCCCCCCCTTTTTTAATATTTTTTTAAAATTTATTTCTAGGAGAGAGAGAGAGAGACAGCATGAGCAGGGGAGGGTCAGAGAGAGAGGGAGACACAGACTCTGAAATAGGCTCCAGGCTCTGAGCTGGCAGTCAGCACAGAGCCCGACGCGGGGCTCGAACCCACGAACTGCAAGATCATGACCTAAGCGAAAGTCGGACACTTATCCGACTAAGCCACCCAGGCGCCCCTCCTCCCCCTTTTTAAATGCAGCTACTGCAGAAATTTAAGGTAGTACTCAGAGAAATACTGATAATGAAGTGCTTTTCCAAGGCTCACCTAATACATATGCTTCCAACTAACCATTACTCTGGATTCTCTAAAATCTCATTTCCTTATTAAATCTGATCATCAGAATATGGGCACAGATCATTTCCTTTAATTCCTCACCAAATGCTTTTACTAAACTTTAAGTACACTGTGTTTTACCAATCTGTTAAAGAAATTACCTTTAACCCCAAAAAAATCACTTATGCAAGAATTCCCAAAGTATATTCTCCTTAAATACAGAAGCAGGATAATGATTCAGCTAGTTTCCCCAGGCTTACTTTTTTAATAATAATAAAAAAAACCTTAATATGTTTCTCTCATCTTGTGGCATGGCTTCTAACTGAGCCTACTGATTGATGTTTATTTTACTTGTCTGAACATAAATCTCAAATGCCTACTGGCATCTACTTCTGTGCTATATTTAACTATTAGTTTTATTGAATCTAAAAATAAAATGTATTTTCATGGGTGTCTAATTTTGATAAGCTGTTTCAAAGTTCCTTTGAGGTAGGTGGTGTATAAATTTATACATCTAACGAACTAATGTGACACGACTTCATAGACAGCTTGTCATTATCCACTTTTCTTTCTATTCAATTCTATCTCCCAATATAGGTGTGCTATATATTCCATTGTTGTCAATTCCCAACATCAAACTCAATCCTCTAGGACCTCCATCAAAGACTATTTGTTGAGAATTGTGTGACTATCACTACAACATTCAGTATTTTAAAAAAAGAAAGTAGCAATGAAATATGCTGTCAGGTCACTCAAAGCTTTTAAGAACATTTATAAATAACCCAATGTATATCAAGAGAGTATATTTAATTTTTAGATCTACAGGATGTGACATAATGCCTGATAGACAGTAATAAACCTGTATTACCCAACGATAACTTAATTCTGCTACAATACTGCCATTAGGAAGTGCCAAGCTTCATTTCAGTCCTCATTCTAATCAGATATACCAAACCCTCACCAAAAATTGGGAATGTTATTCTCCCTGTACTCTCAAAATGTGATCTGGGGTTTTACACTGGAAAATGCTGGAGAAGAGTGAAAGTTTATTCTGGG